GCAAGTTTTTGCGCAAAAACTCTGCAGTGTAGACATAGCCTTGATGTTTGATCCTGATTCAAAGCTTTGTCCAGTCAGGAAGCAGGAACTATCATCTGACATAGGATATCAATCACACAACACAAATAACCAGTGGTGAGCACTGGCGATTCAAAGAGAATAATTTTCACCCATTTTGTTTGCAAGTTCTTCAGCTTAATAGACTCATAGACTCATAGACTTTAAGGTGAGAAGGGACCATTATGATCATCTAGTCTGACTCCCTGCACAATGCAGGCCACAGAATCTCACTCACCCCTCCTAGAATAATCCTCTCACCTATATCTCAGATATTGAAGCCTTCAAATACTTTGAAGACCCCCGGATGCAGAGAATCCTCCAGCTGTGATCTGTACCCCATGCTACAGAGGAAGGCGAAAAATCTCCAGGGCCTCTGCCAATCTACCCTGGAGGAAAATTCCTTCACAACCCCAAATATGGCGATCAGCTAAACCGTGAGCATGTGGGCAAGACTCATCAGCCAGACACCCAGAAAGTTCTCTATAGTAACTCCTATCATCCCTCCATTGACCTATTTCCCACTGATAATGAATGGTCAATTAGTTACCAAGATCATGTTATCTCATCAAACCATCCCCTTCATAAACCCATCTAGTTTAATCTTGAAACCAGATAGATCTTTTGCCCCCACTACTTCCCTTGGAAGGCCGTTCCAGAACCTCACTCCTCTAATGGTTAGAAACCTTTGTCTAATCTCAAGTCTAAACTTCCTATTAGCCAGCTTATATCCATTTGTTCTTGTGTCCACATTGGTATTAAGCTTAAATAATTCCTCTCCCTCCCTGGTATTTATCCCTCTAATATATTTAAAAAGTGCAATCATGTCCCCCCTCAGCCTTCTTTTGGTAAAGGTAAACAAGCCAAGCTCCTTGAGTCTCCTTTCATAAGACAGGTTTTCCATTCCTCGGATCATCCTAGTGGCCCTTCTTTGTACCTGTTCCAGTTTGAATTCATCCTTCTTAAACATGGGAGACCAGAACTGCACACAGTATTCCAAATGGGGTCTCACCAATGCCTTGTATAATGGCACTAACACCTCCTTATCCCTACTGGAAATACCTCGCCTAATACATCCCAATATTGTATTAGCCTTTTTCACGGCCATGTCACAATGGCGGCTCATAGTCATCCTATGATCAACCAGGGCTCCGAGGTCCTTCTCCTCCTCCGTTACTTCCAACTGATGTGTCCCCAGCTTATAACTAAAATTCTTGTTATTAATCCCTAAATGCATAACCTTACACTTCTCACTATTAAATTTCATCCTATTGCTATCACTCCAATTTACAAGATCATCCAGATCTTCCTGTATGATATCCTGATCCTTTTCTGAATTGGCAATAGCTCCCAACTTTGTGTCATCCGCAGATTTTATCAGGACACTTCCACTTTTGGTGCCAAGGTCAGCGATAAAAAGATTAAATAAAATTGGCCCCAAAACTGATCGCTGAGGAACTCCGCTAGTAATTTTCCTCCAACCTGACAGTTCACCTTTCAGGATGACCCGCTGTAGTCTCTCCTTTAACCAGTTGCTTATCCACCTCTCGTCTTTCATATTAATCCCTATCTTTTCCAATTTAACCAATAATTCCCCATGTGGTACTGTATCCAATGCCTTACTAAAGTTGAGGTAGATTAGATCCACTGCATTTCCTTTATCTAACAAATCTGTTATTTTCTCAAAGAAGGAGACCACGTTGGTTTGGCACGATCTACCTTTTGTAAAACCATGTTGTAATTTGTCCCAATTGCCATTAGCCTCAATGTCTCTAACTACTTTCTCCTTCAAAATTTTTTCCAAGACCTTACATACTACAGATGTCAAGCTAACAGGCCTATAGTTACCCGGGTCGCTTTTTTTCCCTTTCTTAAAAATAGGAACTATATTAGTTATTCTCTAGTCAAATGGTACAACCCCTGAGTTTAGAGATTTATTAAAAAAAATTGCTAATGGACTTGCAAGTTCATGTGCCAGTTCCTTTAATATTCTTGGATGAAGATTATCTGGGCCCCCTGATTTACTCCCATTAAGCTGTTCAAGTTTGGCTTTTACCTCGGATATGGTAATATCTGTTTCCATATCCTTAGTCCCATTTGTTATGTTACCATTATCCCTAAGCTCTTCATTAGCCTCATTAAAGACTGAAGCAAAGTATTTGTTTAGATATTGGGCCATTCCTAGATTATCCTTAACCTCTACTCCATCCTTAGTAATTCGCGGTCCTACTTCTTCTTTTTTTGTTTTTTTCCTATTTATATGGCTATAAAACCTTTTACTATTGGTTTTAATTCCCTTTGCAAGGTCCAATTCTATCTGACTTTTAGCCTTTCTCACTTTGTCCCTACATGCTCTAACCTCAATAGGGTAGCTTTCTTTACGGATCCCTCCCATTTTCCACTCCTTATATGCTTTCTGCTTTTTCTTAATCACCTCTCTGAGATGCTTGCTCATCTCCACCTGACTATCCATACCTAGATTTAATTCCTTACTCTATCAAAGTCTCCAACCTATCCTTTGGGATTGATCCATAGTATATGGCAGATGTTTGAATCTTTAATACAGGCACACAAACTGGGAACAGCTTCCAAAATGATTGCATGCCAAGAAGAGGGAACAAATTTGCAATAGTTTGACTGGCTCTAGTAGCTAATCAGTGGACTGTGGATCAATTAGTTCAAAGGATTACATAATCACCTCACTCATTAACAGAACAAAAGATTCCAGCGGAATTGAGGGGGTATACATTATTTGCTGGGATGCATGCCATTACAATTGTGCTGGTAAAGCAATCCAAAACATAACAGAAAATAAAACTCTTCTTCCATTAAGTATGATCCTGAACCTTCATCATCCTGGAAAGACTTTTACCTGATCTCAAAGTGAACTGAAGAGGGGGAGGGTACAAGTCTCTCCCTCTGTTTGCACTTCCTATACAGGAGATAGGCACAGTAGCAGACACCATAGTGCTGCTTGAAGAGGAAATAACATCAGAGAGGACAAGCAGGAAGTGGGACCACATGCTTCTATATTCTGTACTGGCTGGCAGAGGCAGTTGAGTGGAAGGAATCACAAAATGCTGGTGGGTTGGCAGCATCCCTCCTGCATGCTAGAGGAGGTGTATACCCCTCCACAATCAGCCTTCTCTGCTTATTCAATTAACAGAGCTATGACCTCGTGTCCTTTCTGTCCCCTTTAGGATGAATTGCTCCTCGGGAAAAGTCATTGTGTTGCTAGCAGTACTTTGTGTATTTATAGAGCATGCCCAATTTGGAGCTGTAGGCTGAAGGCACAATATGGCAAAATAATGGAAGATACAGATCATTATAGGTTATAATCAAGGGAATTGGCTATAATCAAGTTCAGACAGATCTGTCATCTTCAATGAAATGTTGGTGCAATGATTCTGGAGATATAAGAATTTGGTTTGCTTTCATTTGGAAATAAAAAATAAATTTTAAAAAACCCTATGCTTCTCTTACTGTGCTAGCAGCAGAATATACAATTAGCATTTATGTTCTATTGCAAATTAAAATTGTGGAATAGCCTATAATGCATATGTTTCTGCAACCTTACATATGCTTTTAAATATCCTAATGTCTGTGGGGCTAGAATGCTACTATAAGTTCACCCAATAAAACAAGAAGTTCTCTTGAATATAATGTGATAACCAGAGAAAATATTTTGAAGAAATATTTTGTATAAACAATGCTGCTGGAAAAAAAATCATGTGCTTATTATATTTTAAATGTTTTACAACCTTATTTTCTTAGTTAAAAATACCACAAAATTACTATAGCAACTTATGCTACAGAATGACTTCATGCAGAAACATATGGAAGCAAATATACTATTTGTTTGTATAGGTGGTTTTTTCCCAAAAAATAGAAGTTATGAGTAGCAAATGTTCTCACCACTTTACTTTAAAAAAGGAAAAAGAGAATGACAAAGTGGTTTGAACAAACTTTTTTTCCCAGTGAACCTTGAGTCTAGCCTACCTGATTAAAAATAATAAATTGGTGAGTTTTTTAGTTAAAAAATAGATGCCAAATTAGTCAATGGGGTTATGGCTGCAAAGAATTTGGCCTCCTATCTGAAGAAGTCAGAGCAAACTGTTAGACAGAGTCACGCAATAGCTAGCCACAACAGAGCATTTTACATATTGAGTAGTTAACTGTTCAAGCTTGTGATTGCATTTTTTTTGTTGTTTCTCTTTTGATGTCTTTGAAGCTTCCACTATATATATGATCAAAGACATACTGTTCCCTTCTGCAAAGGGAACATGCTTGTGTTTGATGATGCAGGTTTTGAGATGAACTTGATATGCTAGATGAGATCAAGGGTTCATCTTTGGAAAATACAGGCACTGAGGGTATTGACAAAACTGAGAAATTACAGGGAAAGCAGGTAAAAATAACAGACAGTAAGGACAAAAAATAAAACTCAAAGTTTGGAAATAGAATCTTAAAAAACAGTTTGACTCTAAAAAATGGCTATAAGAAAATGGCACCTTCTTACTCAACATAGCTGCTTCTCAGGCATAATTGCTGACTTCAATAATGCAAAGATTTAACTTATGTTACTATAATCCTGCAAAACCAACAGCTCTGTTGAAGTGAGTAAGATTCTGTTCCTTAGTGTGCTTCATCAAGACGTGTACTAAATTACTATTGGTGACTTTGGCGGCGTATGCACAGTCCATCACATGGGTGAGGATATTCAGGGGTGTGGACGCCACCTGATCGGTCGCAGGGCAGTCAGCTGCCTCTATAGTCTATAAATATCCCCTTGCTGTCTGTGATATTAACATATATTAAATATAATACCCCTGAATATGCACATTAACTATTGACTCAAGGTGAAAAATACCATCTATTAGACTAACAGCATTACTGTCTATAACACCCAGTGTTTCTCTTTAAGCCGTTTTGTTTCATTACAGGACCAGACAAGTTCCTGTTTAGCTTGTGAGATTAGACACACGCACAGCTCAGGTAATACATTGTGGAAATAGACTGTATTAGATTGTCTGAATAGTTTGGTGCATCACAAATTAAAGAGACGCTGCCAAGTATATCTTTGCTGTCATTTTCTTCATGTTTGTCACTGATTATTATGCCCTCTCAGAAGTGTGAAAATAGAAGGAAAAACTATTCTATTATATTCTGTCCAACAGAACAAATAATCAGTTATGCTGGTATATTTATATGAACTGGGGTTGTAGGATAGCTTGTACTCTTTCTGACCTAAGATTTAATTGGTCAAGAGGTTTCGACTTATATAATTCATATTGGTTACAAAAAATTAGATTCAAAGTCCCATTTAGGTTTAATCTAGTCTAGCCTCACAATAATAGTCACTGAGGAAACTGTTTAACAAAATGCTACACATTTCAAATTACTTTGAAGATGGAAGATAAATTGTTTCTTTTCTTTTCTTTTCTTTTCTTTTCTTTTCTTTTCTTTTCTTTTCTTTTCTTTTCTTTTCTTTTCTTTTCTTTTCTTTTCTTTTCTTTTCTTTTCTTTTCTTTTCTTTTCTTTTCTTTTCTTTTCTTTTCTTTTCTTTTCTTTTCTTTTCTTTTCTTTTCTTTTCTTTTCTTTTCTTTTCTTTTCTTTTCTTTTCTTTTCTTTTCTTTTCTTTTCTTTTCTTTTCTTTTCTTTTCTTTTCTTTTCTTTTCTTTTCTTTTCTTTTCTTTTCTTTTCTTTTCTTTTCTTTTCTTTTCTTTTCTTTTCTTTTCTTTTCTTTTCTTTTCTTTTCTTTTCTTTTCTTTTCTTTTCTTTTCTTTTCTTTTCTTTTCTTTTCTTTTCTTTTCTTTTCTTTTCTTTTCTTTTCTTTTCTTTTCTTTTCTTTTCTTTTCTTTTCTTTTCTTTTCTTTTCTTTTCTTTTCTTTTCTTTTCTTTTCTTTTCTTTTCTTTTCTTTTCTTTTCTTTTCTTTTCTTTTCTTTTCTTTTCTTTTCTTTTCTTTTCTTTTCTTTTCTTTTCTTTTCTTTTCTTAGAATTTCCATATCTGTGAATGTTAGATTGACAATACTAGCATAAGAGTAGTGACGATCGATGCCATGTAAATGCAGGGTATGGCAGAATTCCTAGTATGTAGTCTTGGATTGTGGAACCACTATGCTGTATCTTGCAATAATTTTCTAGTGACATGCAGCAAGCCCCTCCAGGCACTATTACCACTCATTACAACCCAATGTGGAGCCCTTCACCCAGCTAGATTGCATGCATGTGCCCAGAGTCATTCATTAATCACACAGAAAAAGGCACCAGCCAAATCCCCCAGCCTTGCACCTCAGGAATAGAGTGTCTTGCACTACACAAGGCGAGCAGTGCAAATTTATTCATTGGTTCACCACTTCCTCAATGGAAAGTGGATTTACACCAGCCTATGTAAAACCTGAGCAGATATACCAGACTCTTCAGGCAAATTCATTGGTAAAGCTAAACAGTAAAACAAGTTTATTGACTACCAAAGATAGGCAAAAAGTCAGTTAGTTATCAAAAGAAAAGAAAATGTAAGCACACAGTGTAAACATGCAACCCTATTGAACTGGGCAACATCTAAATTAAGGAATCTCCTCTCACCCCACAGGATATTTTAATCCTTAATATACAGGTTTGTTCCTTAAACCTGGTCCAGTCTTTGCTGTTGAGGTCTTCAGACTTTCTGATGTTCTTATTAGAATCATAGAATACTAGGACTGGAAGGGACCTCAAGAGGTCATTGAGTCCAGTCCCCTGCCCTCATGACAGGACCTAATACTGTCTAGACCATCCCTGATAGACATTTATCTAACCTACTCTTAAATATCTCCACAGATGGAGATTTCACAACCTCCCTGGGCAATTTATTCCAGTGTTTGACTATCCTGACAGTTAGGAACTTTTTCCTAATGTCCAACCTAAACCTCCCTTGCTGCAGTTTAAGCCCATTGCTTCTTGTTCTATCCTCAGAGGCCAAGATGAACAAGTTTTCTCCCTCCTCCTTATGACACCCTTTTAGATATCTGAAAACTGCTATCATGTCCCCCCTCAATCTTCTCTTTTCTAAACTAAACAAACCCAATTCTTTCAGCCTTTCTTCACAAGTCATGTTCTCCAGACCTTTAATCATTCTTGTTGCTCTTCTCTGGACCTTCTCCAATTTCTCCACCTCTTTCTTGAAATGCGGTGCCCAGAACTGGACACAATACTCCAACTGAGGCCTAACCAGAGCAGAGTAGAGCAGAAGAATGACTTCTCGTGTCTTGCTCACAACACACCTGTTAATGCATCCCAGAATCATGTTTGCTTTCTTTGAAACAGCATCACACTGATGACTCATATTCAGCTTGTGGTCGACTATGACCCCTAGATCCCTTTCTGCCGTACTCCTTCCTAGACAGTCGCTTCCCATTCTGTATGTGTGAAACTGATTGTTCCTTCCTAAGTGGAGCACTTTGCATTTATCTTTATTAAACTTCATCCTATTTACCTCACACAATTTCTCCAATTTGTCCAGATCATTTTGAATTATGATCCTATCCTCCAGAGCAGTCACAACCCCTCCCAGCTTGGTATCATCTGCAAACTTAATAAGCGTACTTTCTATGCCAATATCTAAATCGTTGATGAAGATATTGAACAGAGCCAGTCCCAAAACAGAACCCTATTCAACCCCCCTTGTTATACCTTTCCAGCAGGATAGTGAACCATTAATAACTACTCTCTGAGTACGGTTATTCAGCCAGTTATGCACCCATCATATGCTGTTGTTTGCAGCATAGGTGGGGGCAGGAGAACATGCCAAGTATGGGGCCAATATGCTCTGTTTCATACTCTTAGTCCATGTGCTTGGAGAACACAAGTCCAGGCATATCTGGTGGGTAGTGCTGAGTCCCCAAGCAATGTAGACCAATTCCCCTGGTGTGGCCTTGTGCAAATGAGTCACTGAATTGTAGCCCCCTTGCTGAACAATGGTGCTTATTGTTGTTTGATATCTGCCCAGGCACTGGTTATTTTCCTTGCTTTTGTTTCTGGGGAGCCAATATATGGCTGATTCCTCAGCTTACAAACTTATAGCATGTTTTACCAACAACCATAAAATACAATCTCATAAGTTCATATGCACTAAAGATACACATATTTAGATAGAACAGTGGGTTTCAGCAGATCGTAAACTCTCCCCACTACTTCATGGGGCATACTTTATATGCAATATTAAAATAATATACAGATGAGGAACATGGGGGTTACAGGGCACTCCCCCAAGATCTAGAATGTCACACCTCCTCCCTTAGTCAGGGACTAATTCTCTTGCAGGAAACTATCTTAAACACAGTTTGTACTATAGTTCTTTTGGCATCCAACCATGAAAGCCCTGTGCCTCAGTTCCCCCTTCACACAGAAAACCAGGTTTGTTATGGTTTCTCTGCTGTGGTGAACTTTAAATCTGTTTACAAGTAATAACTGAGAAGTAGTATTACCATAAAGTTTAACATCAATATTAAAAAGTACAAGGTGTTTTGAGAGTTACATAATTGATATTGGTTACAAAAATTAGACTCAAATAATCCCCATTAGGTTTAATTTATTTCAGTCTAACAATAACAGTTATTGGTGAACCTGCTTAGTAAAATGGTTCAAATTTCAAATTACATTAGCCATGGAAGATAAACTGATTTTTTTTTCAGAGAATTTGAGTATTTACAAATGTTAGATATTTACTAGTATAGGATAAATGACAATTATTGTCATGTAAATGCAGAGTTGGACTAGATATGTGACCAGTTTGTGGTCTATGACTGAAAGAAGAACTTAATTAGTAGCTGCTATTGGTCTGCCATGCTATCACTTCACACAATAAATCTGCACTGCCCACCCATAGATAAAAACATATAGCACCTTTCAAGTCAAAGGATATCAGAATAGTTTACTTACAAAAATTCACCCCCTGCTGTAGAATAACTCCATGTGAGGTGGAACACCCCTGCTGTTGAAGATTGCATAGCAATGCTATACAACTGTACGGGTGAGGAAGTACAAGACAGCACTCTCTCCAGTTGACACCCCACACATCAATAAGCTGAACTGACAAACCTTTCT